AGACAGTTCAGCCTCGCCTTACTCGGATCTCCCTGCATCAATTATTCAATTGGTCAGATATTGATTTTGCTCCTCAATGGTCACAAGTTCGAATCCTCTCAGGACCACTGAGGTGAGTTCCCCACCATAAATTTTAGAGCCCCGTGAGATTAGTCGAGGTGCGCGTAAACTAACCCGAACATTTACGGTTATAAAAAAAAAAATTATGAACTTCAAAATAATCTTAATACGAAAGTCTACTTGACAGGCATAGTCTCAATTTTGTTACAATACTGTAGATATATGTGACAATTGTCAAGCTTTACTTTATTTGAAATGGTAAAGCTTTCCAATACTAATTGAAGATTTCAAGGGGGGCTAAGTTTTCAAACGGTATCAACCTTTTGAATAGTAATGGAGAATTTGAGTTAAAAATGTTGGGAAGAATTTTGTGCAAAAACAGTAAATGGAGCAAAGTTACTTTTTAAGAAGTCAAAAGAAAAAAAACACAATTGAAAATGACTAATTTTTTGTACTAAAATTGTAAAAGAAGCAATAAAATTTGAAGAAAAGGCATACATGTTTAGAGCATTGTTATAAAAAAAATTGTAATTAATAAAGACTGGTCTGTAAAAATACACGTCTGAAACAGTGCTAGATTTGTTCACCTGAATCCTCCGACGCCAAATTGAGCAAGGCAATTTGAATATCACCTTAAAAACAAGAAGGTGCATGTTTTAAATGACGAATAAGTGTGTTGTATATTTCTTAGATGTTTTTTTATATATGCATTTCTCTCGTACCATAGTTTTGTAACATGCATAGACTTGTCATCGATTAAGGTTCATAGCCGCCGTCTTCCTAAGTTTTATCACCTCTCATCCAACCCATTGGTGCTAATCAGGAATCGAACGACAAAAATTTAATAACAAGATTTTTATTTAATTATTATAATAAATATATCATATGTCACTAATGGAAACATAAATTAAATGATGAGACTATACCAATTTTTAAGAGAATAATCAAACTAAGGAGATGAAATTTGAACAAAAAAATTACAAGTTGAATCAGATTAAACCAAATTTATTTCCTTTTACAAAAAATTAATAATAAATAAAGTCAGTCTTTATCGAAAGTCAAATTGTACAAATTCAGACACGTCACACGTCTATTATTAAAATTCTCTCTCATACCCATTTGGAAATTGTCCGCAATAACAACGTGGGGAATAGTAGAGGGAGGCGGCCAGACAAATTTAAGGATCTTTGACAAAATCTGAGCAAGCATTTTTTTTTTTTTTTGCTTTTTTAAAGTAATAAAAAAAAATCAATTGGAAGCTAATAATAGTGGAAATTAATATCTGTCAATAATTCAGATGAAATAATCAATAGTATTATTGTCGATGCATCTTCATTAGTGATTACATACAACAATATATTCGAAGATCATCGATAATCGCTTACAAATGATTCGTCGTCGACCGTTGACATATAAGCTATCTTTTTATTTAATTTTAATTTTATATGATAATTATTATTTTATTTCTAATGAAATTTTATGTTGTTACCACCATTAAACTAAATTTATTAAAATAGTTATATTTTGTATATAATTAAATGAAAGTCCAATACTAATTTTAACTTATTAAATTTTTATTACGGACATAATTTGCTAAACCGAAAATAATAGCATGGAACTTATAGAGGTGTTAAGTGGAGAGAGCAGCTCGTCGACTCATCATTTGGCCATGCAAGTCGTTTGCCTGCTTGCAAACTCATTAGCTCGTAAGTCAAATCGTCAAATATAGAAAATTATGCAATATTTCTTTTATTAAAATGAAAAATACGACGAGCTACCCCCATTTAACACCGAGAGGCACAAGTTTGTGAGGGTGCCGGTCAGGGGGGTTGTGTACCCCTCCGGTGCAAGAAGAATTATTCTTTAATACCCTAGGGACTCCTAGTAGATTTAAGAGTCTTCTCACAAGTTATTTCATGTTGACGACTTTGAGTGCGAGTCGAATTGTCTCATTAAAGTGGATATCTAATGGGATTCGATGACTCGATTAACTCGGCTCGTCCCATCTAACACCCCTAAGTACTCTAGTAGATATAGGAGTCTTCACAGATGAATTCAAGTGTGACTTTCCATCATTACCATTATGTATTCGGTATGAATACATTGTACACCCACTATTAACCGGGGGCAAGTCCAACAAACTGGTTCACTTTGTCGTTGTATATATTTGACTATACTATTTGCTTTAAATTAGTTGACAATTCAAAATAATATATAAAAGCAAAAATAATAATAAATAAATAAATATTGGAGTGCAGAGCTGATGTAATTGAATTCGTAGGTTGTACCTTAGTCGAGACTTGACCGGAAATCAATTCAATTTTGTTGTTTTCTGACCTAAAATAGAAGACTGGTTGGAATTATTTGACCACTACTTGGATAAAATCAGTCGCATGTATGAAGAACGGATTAAATCGAAATATTTACTACGTGATCGTTCGTTCGACCAAGCGGAATCACGACCTTTTGACAACATAGTTTATCACAAAAATAAAAAGTCTTGTATTTATCCTTACGAATCGAACATCTTACTTTACAGGAATACCTATTTCTGAAATAAGTGATAATTAATAAATAAAAGGCTGCATTGTGAAAATGTAAAATAATTGGAAATTTGTTGTAGTCGTTTTTCAAGGGTTTGACTTGTAGGTTTTTTCTCAAAGAGTCGTGTAGACTCAAGCACGACTAATTTGAATTCTTAACATTTCGGATGCATTACTACAAGTATTGAAGTATTGCAAAGGAAAACTATTTTTCCCTTCATTTTTATCCTAAAAATAAGAGCTTCACAAGCACATATTCTCTGGCCTAACATTAAATCTTCAACAGGGATTTCCAGCCAGAATTAAGTGACCAATTGTGCATCGTTTACCCGTGAGTTTTTCTCTCGTTTTCGGGTTTTTTTTTCCTTCGTATCGCTATTCTCTCTGTGTTTGTGTGTCTATCTACACACGCATGCATACTGGCCGTTTTTTGGTCTCGTGTGGCTTATCATCCTCTCAGACAAAACCAGGTGCATGTACTTGCACCTTTACTTATGCACAAAGGAATTGGTTCAAATCTTTTACATGTACTTTCCTTAAATAATACTGTTAAGCGTGCTGCTTTATGTTGGTAAATAATTGAAAATTCCTTACATGCATCCATTGGTTTCCTTTTAGACTGCTTTTTCATCCCATTTTCGTTCCATCGTACTTTATAAATCTCATATAGGTCTTGCCTAATGTCTATAGAAAGGACCACTAAGGCACTAATCTTCATAATTTGGAGATTAAGGCTCTCTCCCTTTGACTCTACGTCTCTCTGTGTGTGTGTTTACGCGCGTTCTTTTTTTGACTCTCGTGCTTGTACATGTGTCTATATGCATGTGCACGTAAGAGCACAAGGGCGCCGGTTTCTTGAATAAATTCAGGTATATAAAGAAGTAAACTAACCTATTTGGCTATTTCTGATAGGTTAGGAACTTTCTGTTAGTGCCTAACTAGGGTAGCCATTACTTCTGGTCAATTCTAGCTCAAAAGCAATGCAAAAATGCAAATTTAAACTGCAATAACAATCACTAATTACTTTTACAGGTTAGAAAAATGAGTTCTTCACGGAGAAAAACCGCGCGTATAATCTTCGTTGCCATGGTCCTGGCCTTAAACTTCACACAACTTGCAGGACTGCCAACTTCTTCCAACCCTTACGATTCAGGTAACTGTTCTACCTTTTCTGTTTAGAAGCTTACCTTGTAAAGTCCTACCTGAATATTTATGTACCAATCGCTTACTTTGGCGTTTCCAGGGAGATACTTGGCTGAAGCAGATAGTGTTTCAGAACCAATTAAGCAATCAGATGATACCGTGAGAATCGACCCTTTGGAAAATTTCAAGAAATACAGAGGAGGATATGACATAACAAACAAGAATTACTGGAGTGTAAGTCTATATATACTTCTGCCTTCCTCACGCCCCAACCACGAAAGAAGAAAGACATAACTGCGATTAAAGCACTAAAGTTTTTTCCGTCTATTTTTTTCAGTCTACTGCCTTTACGGGGATATATGGATATGCAATTGCAGTAGTTTGGCTTCTATGCGGTGTTGGATATGGAGGGTTTCTTCTTGTAACGAGAACCTGTTGTAGGAATAACAGAAAGCTCAAGAAGAGATCACCTTGTCATAAGCAGTGTTATCTACAGCCTCTGCTATTGGCCACTTTCTTTACCATCCTAGCTGTGTAAGCAGTAAATCTTTGCTCTTTAACTCTTATCATATTCAAGTATACATATTAATACTACAGGAATAAAGGTTATTGCAACATTGAACCGTCAGTTACGTAAAACAGAAGCAATTTAACCATGAAGTCCCTTCAAATATTTTGAGAAAAAGAATAGTTTTTTCCACTAATTTGCTAGATGTAGAACAGCCAATTGATTTTATTACACTCCATTTAAGTGCATGTTTGGTATGCAGTATTAGACGAGACTCAACAATATCATAAATAAGATTTTAGCTTCACATTTGTCTTCCTTAGTATTGTCGAATACTATAGAATCCCCACATTGCTAAACAAGTCATAAGAGTTATAGGGATTCATAAAAGTGCGTGCATGCAGTGGCGGATCTAATATTGAGTCGGTTAGAGTGACCGTTGACCACCGCAATAGTGAAATTGTTTATTAATATTTAATTAAATAATATTAAAAAAAATTCAATCAATATATAAAGGATCTAAAACGTAAAAGTCATATACATTTGAAAATATAATTCAACACAATTCAAAATAATTAAAGAATATACATTTGTCAATCATATACGGATGATCAAGTTTCAAGTTTTTATGAATTTAAGCAAGACAAAATGAAATTTATACGTAAAACATGATTAAGCGGTAAAGACAAACTTTAAGTTTAGGCGAAGTTTATGCAAATTTTTTAAAATAGTGATTTTTAGAACTAGAACTATTTTTTACTCAATATTTTTCGAACTCTTAAAAGAAAAAAGAGCAATACTTAAATTGTTCAAATTTAATTTTACAAAATAAATTGATAAAATCTAATAGTAAAGTATATTATGAGATAATAATTTGAGTCAATAAATTTCTTAAAAAAGATATTTCAGAAACGAAAACTAATAATATATAATTGTGTAGTTTTAATTTAATTTGTTAAAAAAAATTAAAAGAAAGAGAGGAAGGGATTGGAATCGAACCTAAAGTCTTTTGGTATGCAGTATTGGACGAAGGTCGATAATATAATAAACAAGATTTTAGCTTCACATTTTTCTTCCTTAGTATTGTCGAATACTATAGAATCCCCACCTTGCTAAACAAGTCATAAGAGTTATAGGGATTCATAAAAGTATGTGCATACTGCATGGTCTGTCAACATCCCATTAAGCTATTTGCTATTAATATCAATTTCAGAACTGCAACTGGCCTGGTTCTTGGAGGGAATGCGAAGTTCCATTCCAGAGCAAAGACTGTGATAGACATTATCATTGATACAGCAGATGATGCATCAGATACCATACGTAAGGCGACGGGAGCAATGAAGAACATGAGTACCAATTTGGGAGAAGCTAATGGAAGTACTGAGGCTACAAACTTCCTAACTTCTACATCTCTAAGGCTCGACTCTCAGGCCTCAGACATAGAAAGACAAGCAAGGAAGAATAGAAGAGCGATTGATAAGGGCCTCAAGATAGTGTAACCCTCTCTCTCCCTCCCTCTCTCTTTTGCTCGCTATTTGTGTGTGTGTATAGGGCAGTCTGTGAATACTATTTCATTTCTGATGGCAGGTACATAGTTACTACGTTGACAATTTCATTGAATTTGGTTGCCGTAATTTCTCTACTAGGTAATGTGGATTCCTTACAGTCACTTGCAGAATTAAGTTATGTGCAAAAGTAGAGCGAAAATGAAGATTCTTTCCATCTTTCTAATAAAATGAACTCTCTTTTAATGCAGTTTTTCGAGTACTAAAATTTCGGAGGATTCTTTCAATGTAAGTATATTAGATGAAATCGTAAAAAATTCGTGTGGAACACTATTAGTTTCAATGAAGTAACAATGCACGATTTTCTCATATATTTGCTTAAACTCTTGCAGATTAATTGCACTATGCTGGATCCTCACTATCCTCTACTGGGTGTTCTTTGGGATCTATTTCTTCCTCGGAAAGTACGCTCTATACTAGCCATTTTGGAAAACATTACTTCATTAAGAACAAATAAATTTTTAAGCACACACGCACGCACAGAGAGAGAATGTATAGAGTCGAACCTGATTAGTTGGTATTTTTCCAGCTTTGTTGGAGACACATGCACAGCACTTGAAAGCTTCCAACAGGACCCGTACAACAACAGCTTAAGCTCCATTCTTCCATGCGATGATTTGCTTTCAGCAAAATCTGTCTTAACTGATCTTAGTGCCGGGGTTTACAACCTGGTGAACGAGGTAATCCTCGAAGATGAAAATGAAATTCTATAAGATAAGATTCATCTCCTCAATTTCTTGAACAAAATTGACTGAACATCCCATCGTTCAATTTCTTATGTCACACAATCACTATACCATGCATAAAAATGATGAAAGAATATTAGAAAATTGTATATTTTGTGATGTCTGAGAACGAATGCAGGTGAACAATAACATATCTTCATCATATGCAAACATAGTTCAAATTTGCAACCCTTTCTCGCCACCCCCTGATTATGAATTTCAGCCCGGGAATTGTACAGCCAGTTCAATCAAAATAGGAGACATCCCCCGGGTGAGCACAAGAAATACATGGCTACTTTATCTACACTCGTCTCATAGTTTAATGTCGTGCATCTAGTTTTGTAACTTATGACTCTTTTTCACTTTTTGAAGGTATTGAGAATGCTGACTTGTCCTGGTTCGGTGGGTGATACCTGTAATGGAGGGATCCTAATTCCGGCTAACAATTTCAATACTGTAGAGGCTTACTCAACTTCAATACAAGAGTTACTAGACGTTTATCCTGGTATGGAACACTTGGTTGAATGCCAGATGGTAAAGGATGCTTTTTCTGAAATCCTTCACGATCACTGCAAACCTTTAAAGAGATACGCAAGAATGACTTGGGCAGCATTTGTGTTTCTATCAGTGGTAATGATGGCTTTGGTACTTACATGGACAACTGAAGCACACCATGAGCAAGAACATCATTCTTTAGGTGGTTCAGTAAAACCACACTCTACAGCAGCAGATTTGCCAGAATCTGAGACCACTAAAGCAACTAACAATGACCAAATCCAGGTCTAGTCCTGTACTTAGCGATTCAGTTCCACGACATTCATTAGCTTACCATACCGTACACACATAATACTTTCCAGAATTTCTTAAAAAGATAGGAGAGATCGGAAAGAAAACGAGTCATAAAACACAGACGAAAATTTATCTCAGTATAGTAACTCACCAGAGGAATCAATAGCAAACATTTTTTTCCTAGAGCAGAATCAGAGGCAACTGTGATATTTTGTAATTAGCCAAATGTGGGGACAAACCCTTAATAGCTTGTAATGAAAATTTTTCAGGCTAGTGAAATTCATATTTATTATTTTATTCCTCAGCAATGTTTTGCAAGTACGCCTAGAAGAGCTACTCGCTCTATAGTGTTGTCACGCAAGATGAGCACACCGCCCGCCTGCTGGCCAGCAATCTAATCAGCAAACTTTAGCAAAACACTTTTTTAAACTTTTACTGAACAAGGGGATGAAGATTAATAGACATCCCTCATTAATTCGACCTATTAACAAGAACCGATGATGTGATTGTAAAATGTGACTTCAAATTGTTCAATATTAAACATAAACTCCACGAGACGCTTCATAACAATCCATAAAATAGATGAGTCCAGATATGATGTCCCCAATTTTCCTGTCTCAATGGCCGTCCCCCAATAAAAGCTCGGCATATCACTCCAATTTTACACCTCATCAGTTTTTAATTTATCCCTCTAAACACCTTTAGTACATTTTCTCTCACAGAATTTGGACTCTTCCCCTCCAATTCCGCACTACCAAATCTTCAAATTCTTTCTTGCACTACCAACCTTGGCCACAGCATTCTCACAGTCCACTTCCACTTAGTTGGCCATTTCAACTGCCTCATCATCACCACCCGCCATTGACCACTCCATTTCCCAGCATTTTTGCAAGCACGTGGTGGGCATATCGGTTGGGATTTTCATTTGCAATAGGCAGTAGATTCGCTGGATCAAACGTTCTATGCTTTATCCAACTTAGCTAATATGGATTTATTGATAAAATCAAGGGTGGCAAGCTGAAATTTGAAGCTGAAATAATGAACGAAAATAAACAGACAGAAAGGGATAGGCCTGCTGAATAGCAGGGAAGAAGATTAACAATTTCATTCAATCTTGCTTCAGGAAATTACAATGCAAACTATCCTATTTATAAAGAAAATAGTTAACCAATTATCTAACAAACTAACAAGATAACAAACTAAGGAAATATCTAGAATAGGATTCATGTGCTGGAAGGATCTGGAAGGAAGAAGAGCTGCTGGTGAACTGGAGGCTGGTGAAAGTGTGATCTGTTAACTGGAGAGTTGCTGGTTTGCATGTTGAACCGGTGAGCTGAGTTAATATTCCAACATTTATCCCTTTACATTTTCTTCTTAAACAATTGATTTCCAGAAAGAAAACAATTCCAACTAATGGAAACAGCTTCAATTCAAATTATTGTGCAGACTGGTTCTAGAAACTAAAAAAACCCTTGTGATTTTATTTTATTTTTTCTTTTTCTGATCTTAGAAGATACATATATAAACTGAAAATTCTATTTTCTTTTTCAATTGCTAATGAGCAATGCTCTTGATCGAAAATAGCTAATGTGGATCTTGTCACCTCTCGGCGAAAAAATATTGTCATACCAAGCCACCACAAACATGTGCAAAATACATTAAAAACAAAGGGCTAAAAGGCCAACAATGACATAGAATTTCTGCAAACTGCCTTCATCAGCAAAAGATGTCATGATAGAGCTCTATGAACTTAGGGATAGGCTATAAAAAAAGCTGAAGCGCCATTACAAATTGCCTTCGTCCTGCAAGAAGGAGAGAGTGTAAGTGCACATACATAAGCTATAACAAAAGAAAGTTAAGCCGATGAATTGATTTATGCCAAGACAAGAAATACTCAACATGATTATGTGATAAAAGACACCTGAAGGTCTGACAAACACAGTGGAAACTAGAATCACTACATACTTTGAACAGTCAATCCTCCTAATTCTTAATCCAAAAATTACCTTCACTGCCAAAGAAATAATTAATTTCTGTGGCCATCATTTTGCACTCAAAAACAGGCAGACACGTATATATAGAGAATCTTATATTATCGTGATACTCAATTCAATTGCATATAAGGATATCACGATAATTATGATATAAAGAATTTTTCTCTCACTTTTAATAACCGGCAAATATATAAAGAAAAATGAGACCCGCTCTATCATTATTAGAATTAATTCCTCGAGTGTCATTTTTCAATATAATTGATGAAAATAATTTGAAATACATGTGACCGGTACTAAATAAACCTCCTTCAGTGGAAAGTGGAAACATTATGCAACATTGCAGTGAAAGAAACTATGAACTTATACATAAAGGGGACATAGCCTACAGTTTATTGACTATATAAGCATTCCTAGAGGAAAAAAAATAGGTTAAGAGTTGAATGACAAGTCCAGGTTACTTTTTCAGGTTCAAACAACATGTATGTTAAATTTTTGTAACCAATGTAGGTTTGTTGTTTATTAATTTGGACTGATGTATTAGACGTTTATATGTATATATATTTCAACTTACTATGGGTCAAATTGATCAAAATAATTGGAGAGACAGATGTTGCAGGAATCCTATTTACCTTTAGAAGTAACATTGCGACAGTTGAGTAATCTGATTATTGCTTTTCCTAGTAGATTTAGGATTTACATCATACAATGTGAATTTAATTGTTAACTTACCGCAATCCTCTATCATGCCCGTCAAAAGAACAATCAACAAAGTGTTAATAAGATGACAGGTTCACAATATAGCAAAAAATAAAACACCTTGCATTTTCACTAAATATAGGACTTTGAATCTTTTATGTGGTATCCGTTGACTTTCCTCATTGGCATGCTTGTGTGTTCGTGCAAAGGAAAAGCACAGCCGGTCTAAAGGAACTATGGAATATATTGCGAAATATTATTATTCCGGGACGTTATCACTTTGTATTAAAAAAAAGCTTCAAGTTTGCAAGTATTATTCAATTCAGCCCCAATATGTCCTACTTGGCATTAGGTGATGTCACGTATTAAAATTTCATTTTCTGAAAAAAAAAAAAAGCAATATCTTCTTAGTTTTCAGTATCCAGTTTTCTACACAGGTCTTCTTCAAGAACATTTCAACGTATAAGAGACAAATCCCAATAGATGTACTACCAATGGGATGAATAATTTGGGGAAAACAGAACATGTGTTTTAACTGCTACATGAATTATCATGTCAACTCCAACTAGAGATTTCCAGTCCGTACAGGAAACTAGAGTCAAAAAATTATTGCAACAAAGTAAAGATAATTGTTTGAACTAATAGTCAATACAACGTACATGTAATGCAGTAGTGCATTTGAAATGGGGTGAGCTCAAGGGGAGTGGTCCGAATAGACTTGTGATGGATTTCCAGGCATGATTAAGTGTGATATAAGATGGACTGTATTAGTGCCATGAGGTAGGGCTTTGGGACAAAGTAATAACAATACTCTATAGTGATTGATATTAGGGGTGGGTTGGAGTTCCCATGTTCAAGTCGATACTCAAATATTCTAATGAAATAGCTACATAATGTAAGATCATGCTAGAAACGGGAGTGAGTCCAAGAGGAGTTGGCTTGGGGTGGATATAACTTCGTGGCAAGTGTATTATTTAACTTGTGTTTTTGGTGGATATAATTTGCAACTTCATATGCAATAGTTCATTAAGTGGATTACTTTATCCTGGTTCAAATTACAAGCCAGTGTCATCTTCATGCTTCATGTATGATAAAAATTCATTACACTCAAGTCCTGGGACAACAATATCAGTACTAACGTGAAAACACCAATCACATCCATAAATAGTTTTCACACCACAAAATGGAAGAATTAAAACAAAATCCCAGTTCAATCCAAGATGCTGATTCAAATAATCCGTAGATCGCTACATTTTACAACAAGTCTGGCCTCATTTCTACTTTTTAACAAACCAACAGATTTTTTTCTACCCAAACTTCGACTTTGATTCTTCCCTATTGAGACTTGGGGTTCCATGTCAACCTTCGATAGGACCAGCCCAAGCCCATAATCGTTAGTTATTAGTTATCTTGGATTCCAACTTAAAAATCAAACCTAGTCAAAACGAAAAAGGACCAAAAAAATCGTAACATATTGCAGGAGAATACCGTACCTGCTGCGGAGTGTGTTTATGAGGAAGAAGGGATTCCAGATTGGAAACTCGGGTATCCAAAGAAATAAATTTTTCATTCAACTGCACCCACAAAAAAGATAAAAATGGTTATAAATCAATACAATTCATATGCACATATGTTTGAATTTATACAGCATAACCTGGGAAGAGATGCATTTGCGATCAATCCATAAATCTTTGAAAACGAAGTGAGTCATTAATGCTGAGGCGGAAGCAAAACCGAGAGTGAACCATAACAATCTTGTTCTCATCATTTTTCTTTATTTTATGTTTTCTTTTTTTCCTCACCCGTGTTTTGTACATTGTACAGTAGTGGTGGGAATGAATCGGGTATGACCCAGACCCGGTTATAATTTGCGGGTCGACCTTGAACCCGGTGTCAACGAGCCGAGCTTAATAAAAGCTCGACAAAAAACTTTAGGCTCAATCTGAGCTTTCGGCTATATATATATATTTTTTTTTTTAAACAGTGTGGTCGCATGCAGCTGTAATTTTAGCTGCTTGCAATTACAATTACTTGCGTTGCAGGCTTGTCTAGCCACACGGGTTGGCTCTGGCTCAAGTCGACCCCCCAAAATGGGACTGGTCCCACCGAACCACAAATCGGTCCGGCTCGGACTTTTCCCAAGCAGAGTCACGGGCCACTCGAGTCGACGAGCCACATTGACGTCCCAATGAACCAACTTCGCCAAACATGTCCAAACGTTTTAAAGAATTTTTTGGAAATGCTATGAATAATTTAACAAATTTTTAGACAAATTTTTTCTTTTATAAAAATGAACTAAAACAATTACGCATAAGACGTCTTCTATTTTGTAGAACTATAGTTGGGTTAAAGCTTTTTTTTTTCTTTCCCCCCACATTCCTGTTTGCACTAATTTGTGACATTTAAATTCTCAAGCCTGCAAAGCACAGAGTTGTGCCAGATGTATACCGAAGTAGAAGAATTTGACCTTGGCCTAGAATCCACCGAATGAGAATATTCCATTTTTTGTTTGGAATGATATTGATTCAGCCGGCTGATCTTCCACTTAATTCATTATATGTACGTACATAGCACATGACAGGAGATCATGTATATATAATACATAGATTGCTCCGAAATTTGATTGCAACTCTAGAAACGAAGGCGATATTAGAGTGTCTCTGATAGTAGAAAATTATGAATAGAAGAGGAGGAAGCATGCCTAGGAAGATATATAATTCTGTCAAAGACAAGGACGAAGAGCTTTCCTTCTTCCGGGATATTCAGAAACGCGAAAAAGATGAAATTGCTAGTCTTCTTCAACCTGTTTCTAATGAGTTTGAAGCGAATGGTAAGGTCCAAGAGCATGAAAGATGCATAACAATGAGTTTGAGTAGAACTTGCCCTCAAAATTGACTTGTAAAGGGACCCTGAGACACAATTAGAAAGGGTTCTTCGTCAAATATTTTGGGATTGATCCCTTTTGCTTGATGCTTATGCATGTTTTTACTTGACTTTTTGATCAAGTTGTTGACTGCAGGAAACTATGGGCTGTACAGAATGGAGTCTGGAAGAAAAGGACCAGCACCTGAATTTCTTGCTGAGAGTGGAAAAAATGATTATAACTGGTTCCATATGTTACCTATACAAGAGAACTCTTTTTTCTTCAGAGTTAGTGGTAGATGTTTAATTCTGTGTTTTGATGTTGGCAGGCTGAAAACACCGCCAGCAACGCCTTTATTTCCATCCCTTGAGTTTGAAACAAATGCCCCGGAAATGGTAATCCAGCGCGATCTAACAATCATTCAGCCTCTTTCACGGGTTAGTCTCCGAACATTGGTCACTTTCTAGTGATTAGAGGTGTGAAGCGAGTCGAGCTGATGAGATGGGGAATTGCTATTTTTCTGAATTATCAAATTTATGAAATTTAAAGGAATATATTACATGTTCAGTTTGCAGGCAATTCAGAGGGAGTGAAAGCCAACACCAATAAATCAACGTCTCCAAATCCAAAGCCAAAAATTCCACGAAGATCTAAAACCCCGAATGGGAGGCCGACTATTTCGTCTATAGACAAGAAAAACGTGAAAAGTGCACCAGTTATAAACCAGTCAAACACACTTTTATCGACTATTTCGTTAACCGACAAGAAAAACGTGAAAAGTGCACCCTTGCTAGACCAGAAAAAGAACCAGTCCCACACCATTGTCACTGAAAAACTGAAAACAGGAACCAATCCAGTAAAATATGTCAGCCACAGAGGAAGCCAGCCAAGTTTTCTAACTTCAAACCTTTCAAAAAGCTTGGGGATGGATTCAAATTCAAAATCAAACACCAAACCTAAAAGTCGGGGTGTATCACCTTCTCCGAGGCCAACAATACCAGCCCAAGTTTCAGGTGTTTCAGATGAAACGCCTCCTAATTTAAGGACGGATCGATCAATATCAGCAACTAGAGGAAGGCCGGATATTCAAAATCAACCACTATCCCAGAAGCAAGATTCAAATCCAAAGTCCAGGAGACAGTCATGCTCTCCAAGTGTGACTCGGGGACGTAAAGTGGACAATGATGGAAAAATTGCTAATCAAACAACTGCTAAACTTCAACAAGGAAATAGAGGCCAAGTTCTGGGAAGTAAGATGGTCGACAAATTTATGAATGCAAGATTGTCGACTGCTGAAGAAAGACAAGCCAAAGTAAAGATGAATGGTTCTATAAACGAGAGTTCTGGTTTTGGGAGGCTGATGTCGAAGAGTTCATTGGATATGGCTCTTAAGCATATGGTGAGAATCCCATTTCTTCTGCATATGCACAATTCATTGTTAAGTCAGAAATTAGTCATTTCACCTTCTAACATCTCAATATATTGTTGAACTGCAGGAGTTTCAAAAAGACTCAACGAATTCTCGTAAAAATGGAGTGGTCACTGGAAGAAAATCCTGAACCATCACAGACATATCTCCAGTTATGCAAGTATGAAGTTATCAGAAGGTACAAACATGGAGTGCTACAAAAAGGAAAAAGGCCTTCATAAAGAAAATTGCCCAATCAATATTTTTTAGATTTTCAATCATCTACACGTAAACATTCTCTTTTTTTTTTTTTTTCTCCCTTGCAATGAAACAGTTATATTATTAGCTGTGGAAAATGATCAGATGCATAAGTTAAGCTGTGGACATGTATGGAGACTATTAACACATTCAAACGCTTGTTAATTCGAATGAATACTAAAGATTCAACATAGTATATCGTAAACAATACAAATCTAAGAACAAAATAAACTAAGTCATGTTTTTAAGCCAACTTATCACATTGTTTAGCAAAGGGATTCATGAAATAAACTAAGCCACGTTTTTAATAAAATTGACGAAGTACGCAAATGGAAACTAAAGGTTTGGACATGGTGAGTCGATTTAAAGGTTGGGGATGAATTTTCTAGAGGCGCTAAGGGTTAGAACTTGTTAGGTATTTGATGTAATTAACAAGTCTGTGAACAAAATGGATTAAAATTAATATGTTGTAAAAGTGAAGGAGTAATGTGGAAATAGTGCAAATTGTGTTATTTTAGGTCTAGGAATTGAGAATGGAAAAGAAGGAAAAACGACGCCGCAATTTCGCTAAACTGTCAACAAGACTTGGCTCGAGCGTCAAAAACAGTAACACTGTCGCTAGCTTGTCGCCATGTCTTGGCTTGATCAACACACTGTCGCTCGCATGCCGCCTAGCTCTCGCTCAAGCGACAGGATTATCCGATAATTTTTAATTCTTTTTTAAGGCTTTTTATCTGGCTCATTCATACATTTACCTACATATAAATAACTAAACGCCTCTGAACGAGATTTCGAAGGTTGAACATTATGAAAAACATATTCTCTTCATATCATCTTCATCAAATTATTTTTCAACCTTCGTTCTATGATTGGCTATTGGTAATAAAAACATCAAATTCACAATCCAAATACAAAACTATTGCTTCCTACAAATCTGTCAAAATTTTGAAGATCAAGAGAAGGTGACAGGAGTTCTTCGTTAATCCACAGGAGATAGACGAATTCACAAAGTTAAGAGTTGCTGTAGGAGAGCGCAATCCACGAAATCTTTGAAAATTGCAGTCGGAAGTTGGTGCATGAGCACGAAATCTAGGAGAGCTATTGGAATTGCAGTTAGGAATCAGAAAGTACTAGTGGTAATCGAGTCTGGCGGACTGTAAATTTTAATTCGTTTATAGTAGATTGTTAACTAGCAAAGTGTTCGGAGTTTTTATCCAATTGGGGTTCTCCATGATCATTTCTTGTGTTGATTATTGCTTTCATATAACTACATTTCAACATAGAAAATTAGACGATTTGATTAATCATCTAGAGATAATTAATAATGACTTATTGCTAGTTAATTATTAAGTTATCAATTCTGCATAATCACCTATTCACCCTCCCTCTAGGTGTAGTTTGGTTCGAACTTCGTATTTTTAGAACTAATTGTGCAAAATTTTCACAAAAAATAAAGAAAATTAAAGTCCATAGAATTATGTTAAAATGATGAAAATATGTAAATGGAACTAAAGGTTTGGGATTGAAAAGTCCATTTAAAGGATGGGAGGAATTTTCTACTGTCACTAAAGATTAGGACTAATAGTGTAAATTACAAAAATATGAAAACCTAAACTCCAACCTGTGTACTTAAGCCCCATTTTGACCACCATTATTTGGAAAAAAAAAACTATATTTTTAATAATAATTTTTAGGAGAATGTGTGGTTAAAAAGTAGGAAAAAAATTTGGATTTACGTGCAAAATATTTTATAATGTGAATATGTAGTTGAAAATGAGTATGTAGAAAAAAGAGTTCAAATAATGATCGTCAAATAAGAGCTAAAACCATTTTGAAACCTTAACCATTACGCAATTACTACATGGAAAATGCTTATTGTACATAATTAATTACATAATTGTTAGGTGTCAAAATGTAAGTGGTGAAGTTATTTGGTTGATGAAATTTGATCCAATTAAATTCATTTGTTGGTTAATCATTATATAAATTGTTACGTACATATAATACAACCCTTGCTACATTATTATCTTTAGACTAACATTTTATCTATTTTATTATCTATGGGTTAATTTTGATGTTCATTTAATTTGTTCAGCGGGTTTGAATGTGCAAGACTTGTGAGTCGGAAATCTTCATCTGAAGAGGATAATAGCATATATTTTTCTTGAGGTTTGAGACTAGTTGAAAGATATATGATCACCCAACTTGCATGGTTGTTTACAAATAATTACTCTTTAATTACGAGTCACTTCGTAAAATGAGTTTTGCTACACAAACATAATGTTTGACATAAGAGATGACACAACACACAAATGGGGAGGTCGGCATTATTTAATTCAGGTCGAGACCCACATGCAATGTGAGTGGTCGGTCAACCCCTATATCAAGCATTATGTTCATTTAGCTTAATTCTCGTAAAATTCATCTTGTTAATTACTTTGTTGATTTCCGTTTCATAAAATAAGGGACAGAAGACCTGTACGAGGGGGAGAGAATTTGCCAACGTATGTTTGGTGGAAATTTAACACACGGCAAACCGAAAATTAATACATACAAAGAGGTCAGTCTCAATTTGACGAAACTCTGACTTTCAAAATTCACTTTGTTCAAATCCTTTCTTCTCGTAGAGATCTCACCAACCATATGTTGATTATAAGCTATTAACGTAGCATTAATTGATATCTATGTCCATATATTCAAGATGACATATCAGACGATGCTACATAGATAGCATTATTTGAAAAGCATGTCTCAAAGTCAAAGATGCTTATAAGTCTAGACGGATAGCATTATTAGTTGACCACATATTCGAAGTGTAATTATTGCAGACATTTCAACTTCTCGTACTTGCGCAAGTTCATTGTTCCACATTTCTTGACCATGGCCGTTGGCATAGGTATGAATTCTTAATCACAACATGATGATGATTGATTCTCTACTCTAAACAATCATTTGTTAGTGTTTTTTTTATATGGGATAAATTATTGCAGCATTAGTCCTTGCATTCACATTGTTCTTTCTTTGTGTATGAGCAATATGAGGAGGAAATTAATGGGATGGCAAAGTTTGTAATCAGCAGTTTGAGGAAGGCCATGACATCTTGTGCAAGGAATTTACCAATGCCTTTGACCTCAATTTGTCTACTATCCTAATTTCAGTGTGATCGATTGTGAGACTCGTCACTTTACACTCCACGAGGAAGAGGAAAATGAAATAGTTCACAAACTTGCTTCTTTTAGTGTAGCGAATACGAATTGAATCAATTGTATTCCATTTTCCATATCGTGTATATAATCTGCAACGATCTTTATCAATAAAATGTTTCCGTTTGGCTTGTAGTTGTAAACAAATAAATTACTCAATCTTGAGATAACTTTCATACCATCCTATTGTTCACGCTAATGTCAAAGGCTCCGTGGTTTTGATATTGTAGCATGTATGCATAAATGCACGAAAGATCCCAACTTTCACTTTCCAAACACAGTGGTTCTTTTAGATATTAGTGATTTTGTTCCACGAAATGCAATAAATTGGATTTAATATATTTCTTATTCACTTTCGCAAACGGTTTGTGGCAATATTCATGAATGAAAAGTCAGAATTTCACTTCAAAAAGATTGTCATGCTCAAGAATATATCATATTGACTTCCACTTCACAAATTGATGAATGATATATCAATATAGTTATATAAGTCGCAATCTTTAAGTAGGAAAAATGATAGTATTAAGCGCGTATAAGCTAAGCAACGGTGCTGGCTAATTTATCACTCTAGAGATACTACTATATTTAGAATGCATTAGATAGGACCGAGCGAACAATAATACTGCATATATTATTCCTTTGATTAGATTTCACTACGTCGACTGAAATGATCAATCTATATCATGGCAAGGTTCATTACATGCTCATTGGAACATTATTCTATCAAGTCCCAAGTCCTCTTGGGGTATTGGCCACTTCATAATCTCACTCATTGAGTATGGCAATGGCCAAAAAATTCATCCTCATTACTACTCTACTCAATTGCTTAACTTGTCCAAGACAAACAAGACGAGTTCATATAATATGAAAACAAAGAAAGAGATCTCAAACAGCACACAGTCCTCATCACAAGCCTGTGTAAAAGTATTCAGCGTATGAGCCTCAATATTTGCCTCAATAAATTTATATATTTTATTAATTCAAGTCTGTTCAGCACACCAAATAACACTAGAAAAGTAACACCATTGAAAGATACGGCATGACACTGCACAACAGGTTTATCAGTAAATATAGTCTGGTAACTGCAGCTGGAATCGTGCTACTTCAACCTCAAAGGAACCTCCTTTCGGATCTGCCAATCTGGGTAAAACCGAATACCAAATTTTCAGAAAACAAAAGCTAATCACCTTCATAGGTATTGCAAAATAATGTCATTTTTATTCATTTTAACCCCAAGAATCCAAGCTATAACAGAAAGCACTAAAAGACATTATAAGAGTGAATAATGTCTAACACGACTCAAAACAATGAAAGAGATAATACACGAATTTATTTTGAACTTTTGCATTTAAGTGTGTGTTTGGGACACATTCTTTTAAAAGAATGTATTATTGAATAGTAGATTGATGGATAATGTGTGGTTAAAAATGAAGGAAAAATTATTGATGTGTTGGAAAATATTATTTTATTGAAGAATGTATGGTTGAAAATGAGTAGAAGAATAATAATGAAAAAAATAATGTGTACCAAACAGGGCCTAACTATGTAAAATATAAGGCATACCTTCCTGGGACAAAAGTAAACGATCCTTCAATGGATCCTTGTGATGATGGCAGAGGTTTGCAACTCTCGTAGACAAATTCATCCTCTCCAGGATGTAGTAGTGGAAACTGCAGTTATGCGATTAAGATAAATTCAGACTCAGATGTAAGACTTGTTAGGAATTCGGGGAGGTGATATGATGCGATATGAAGTATAGATCACACAAATTAATAAACAAGAACAAGATTTAAAAGAAAGCAAACAAGAAATTGACAGGGGAACCGAATATTTTATTAATGACAACCAATGGAGAGAAAATAATACAAGTTTCAACAACTTCAATCTATTAAACGGAATAAATAGTCTACTATTTATAGGGCTTAGAAATATCACAAAGATGGAAACAAGATTTAAAAAAAATTACGTGGAATAAAGGAAATAATATTTTTTTCAATAAAACACGTGAAATAAAAGGAAATAATATTTTCTCAAAATATTCAACCTAATTTGGGTCACAAAATCCGACAAGACTGAAAATGTGAACTCAACAAATAGTCTTCAGAAGCTTGTGGAAGTAGTATCCTTTTCTTGATAAGTTCATATGACTACATTTCTGTCTCCAATATTAATCGTAACCAAAAACCACAGATGTAACATCTATAACTCAACTCCACAAAAACTGTGATGCATAGGGCATTCCACTAATATGATGTAATGTTATTAGCAACATTTTTAGCCCTTGTTTGGCCCCCATTAAATTTTCTCTCTCTTAATTTTAACCACACATTCTCCAAATAAAATAATATTACACACAGATATAAAACTTTTCATTATTTTTCAACCACACATCCACTATTCCAAAATTTATAAATTCTCCAAAATGGGGGCCAAACAATGACTTATTAGACCATATATTGTGTTCGACATGAGTACTTCAGACAGTCCTTGGGGAATGTCAAGGAGTCATCACAAATTGAATTGAATGAAACAGCCAAATAAACCTGCTTCATGAAGCCTCTGTAAAAGCCTTGAAGCATATTCAAATATAATAAAGAAAATTTGCCACTGCATTAGATCAGTCACTGGATCCTTTTTTAAATCAGGTCAAAGCAACATGAAAGCTAAGAATCAACAATCTGTTAAGAACCAGAACAGGAATGAAATTTGATCATCTTTTAGATATATGATGTTTCCTCTGTGCCACCTACGCTCTGTAACCCTCTAGATCAACTAGTTCAAAATTATGTAGTTAACTTAGTGTTTGTTTAATAGGTATGAGTCTACTAAATAATTGTCATACGTCTTAAGATATATACAATGATAGTTTTTCTACCTTTGACTGGTCCTTTTGATGTAGGAGTGGACAGTGGAAGAAAACAGAGAGTAAAGAGAACGCAGGAATTGGGAGAAGAATAGAGAAGATAGAGTGAAAGTCTAATTATTGTTAATATAATAGACAATGCCACAATTGTCTTATTGAAAAGTAGAAGTCCTAACAAGACTAGGGAACATACTCAAACTTGCTAATAATTATTCCAAGAAAATAAAATAAACATCCACACTTATGCCTAAAATAATGCATAGATGTCAGTCACCCTACAAGAATACTTCCCCAAGGAGTCAGATACTAATCTCCATCATTTCCTAGGCTGAAAAGAACTCCACTATCACGAGTTATGCTACAAATATTGGTCCAAAATATCAGGATCAATATGACAAACTTTTCTTCAAGCATCATAAGTAATAGAACAATCTCTTCAGCGGAAAAAGAATTAACATTAACTACCAATGAATAAATAAAAATGGTTCGCCGAGACATTAACAATAAAATCAGTTGGATATGAGAAAGCAGGAACACGAGACCATGGAAAATGATGTCATACACAAACAGATGAAGGTAAAACAGATGCTTACGTGTACCTCAGTAAAGGAATAAATTTGCCACAGTAAAAATTGGACTTACAGTTTTATTTATTTTTTTGATAATTAATGAAACATATATTAAAAAAGGTCCCAGTATACTAGAAGTATACAAAAGGACAAATGAGTCAAGAAATACAATGGTCCAACAGCTCTACAGGCGAGCTAATGGAAAGAATACCCAAGCCCTTAACCCACTCAAATAAAAATTGAAAAAATCTACGCTTCAACTCCGGAGTAGAGGTCTCAGTATCCTCGAAATGTCTAGCATTTCTTTCCCTCCAAATACACCAAAAAATACAATGGGGAACAACCCTCCACACCCTGGAAGTCCTGCTACAACTACTAGACCCCTTCCAACAAGAAAAGAGATCCAAAACTGTTCTTGGCATGACCCATTGGACCCCAAACAGCCCGAACACCAAATCCCACAATTCTCGAACAAGCTTACAATGCAGAAGAATATGGTCATGACTCTCCCCACTTTCCTTACATAAACAACACCAATCAATCAAAATAAGGCCACGTTTACGAAGGTTATCGATAGTCAAGATCTTCCCCAGTGCTGCAGTCC